TTTTTTTGAGACAGAGTTTTGCTCTTGTCGCCCAGGCCAGAGTGCAATGGCATCATCTCTGCTCATTTGGCTCACTGCAACCTCTGCCTCATGGGTTCAAGTGATTCTCCTGCCTCAGCTTTCCGAGTAGCTGGGACTACAGGCACATGCCACTATGCCCACTTAATTTTTGTATTTTTAGTAGGGACGGGGTTTCACCATGTTGGCCAGGATGGTTCTGATCTCTTGACCTCGTGATCCACCTGCTTCGGCCTCCCAAAGTGTTGGGATTACAGGCATGAGCCATGGTACCTGGCCCTGGAATGGCCTTTTGAAGACACATTTATGGTATCAGCTAGGTGACAACATCTTGCAAGACTGGAGCATGGATCTCTAGAAGACTGTCTATGCTCTGAATCAGTGTCCAACATATAGGGCTGTTTCTTCCACAGCCAGGGTTCATAGCTCCGGAAATTAAAGGATGGAAATGGGAATGGCACAATGCACAATTACTGCTGGAGACCCACTAGCAACATTTTTGTTTCCTGTTCCCCCAATCTCATGCTCTTGTTATAAGTAAAACTTTTGATGCTGCAAAAAAGTAGCACTCGAAAAATAAAAAAAGTAAAAAAGAAAGACAAAAAAGAAAAAGTAGCACTCGAATATAAATTTCCTCAGCAAGACACTTCCATAAAAGGGTGTGGCTCACAGGTGGAACAATGGTGAACACACACCTGCACAAGGGGCACTTAGGCCTGACGGAGGTCACCCCTACTGCTGTGTCATTCCCCGATTGGCTAAGGTTAGACCGCACAGTCTAGTCTAATTCTGATTGGCTATTTTTTTTTTCTAAGATGGGGTTTCACCATAAGGGCCAGGCTGGTCTTGAATTGCTGACCTCAGGTGATCCACCCACCTCGGCCTCCCCAAGTGCTAGGATTACAGGCGTGAGCCACTGCGCCCAGCCTGATTGGCTATTTTAAAGGGAGCAGGGGTACGAGCAGGAATGGCGGGGTGGGTAGTCTGGCGAAAGAACGGTAACGGGCAGGTCAGAGCAGGTAGCCAGGGGCCAAAGCAGATGACTGGATAAGGTGACGGGAGCAGGTGACCAGGATGAGTCAGGACGGAGCAGGGAACTGGAGAAACAGATGTGAACTACTGATTAGAACTGGCGGAAAGAGTTGTTTATTGAAACTACACGGATGTTAAACTTTAAAATGGAGACTTAAGGAATAAGAGAGCTGAACGTACTGACAGACTGATTCTTTGAAGAGAAACTTGGAGTCTACTATATCTAACACACTGCTAGTCTAGAGGTCTTAGCTCCAAAGAAAAGAATGCTTCCACTAGGAGACACAATGATTCCATTGAACTAGAATAGACTGAAGCCTGGCCACTTTGGGATCCTCATGGCTCTGAGTCAGCAGGCAAAGAAAGGAGTTACTGTGCTGGCTGGGGGATCCATCCTAGCTACCAATGAAAAATTGGAGGCCTGACGTGGTGGCTCACACCTGTAATCCCAGCACTTTGGGAGGCCAAGGCTGGCGGATCATCTGAGCTCAATGGTGAAAACCTATCTCTACTAAAAATACAAAAATTATGAGGCTGGGCACGGTGGCTCACACCTATAATCCCAGCACTTTGGGAGGCTGAGATGGGTGGATCACCTGAGGTCGGGAGTTTGAGACCAGCCTGACCAACATGGAGAAACCTCATCTCTACTT